TATATATATATATATATATGTATATATATATATGTATATGTATATGTATATATATATGTATATGTATATATCGGTGGAGGGGAGTGGGGAGGGTGGTACAATAATTTATGAAGAGTAATGGCAGAATAAAAAAAATCAATTAAAGTAATTTGAAGATAAAATAATGTAATCCAACTAGTTAAGAGTTTAGATCAATCCCATTAATATATTACAAAAGAGAATATTACTTAAATGTTTAGAAAATTACTTGATTGTTGATAACAAATGCATTGCATTTAAGATATTTTATAATTTTTTTATATTGCTTAGTAAATATTATTTATTATTTTTAATTTTTTATGACATTATATTGTTATAAATATAAATATAAAAAGTTTAGAAGTTAGATATGTTATAGCGAAAACATGTGCGGTATGTATGTAATTTTTATCATAAATAGATCATGCGCTCAGATGGACAATCATTGTCTCATAAAGCTTACAACCCATCTTACTCTTTATATCATTGACCTTGAATGTCTTCAAAATTAGTCTATTTGTATTTTCAACATATGATTATGTTGAATTTATCATATCATGACATTTATTCTCAACTTATTTATGTGAAGACATTAGGTGTCTAGCTAAATACTTTAAATATGAACATTAATCACTTAATTTTCCCTCTTACAATAATCCCAAATAATACTTCAAATGTTGAGGAAAAGGACTCTATGAAATCTTTGTGAATTAAGTGAAGAAATTTTTATTGGACGGTGATATACATTTGAAAATTGATGATTAGTTTGACAAATTTGGATTGAGAAATATGGGCATTGAAAGATGAACTGAGTCTAGCTACCAATCTCCTTCATTGTTAGGTGTGTTCATCCTAAAATAATATCTATATAAATGTACATTAATACTGCATTAAAGCAAATATAAAATTGTAATATGATTTAAATAAATAAAAAAAAAACATACCAAAACAATACTGTTTGGAAGTTTGCATTTCGGTTTTCCAGAAGGGCAAAACTTCCAAGCTTCGAATACTTAGAGCAAGAGGATCTACACGAAATTTAACACAAGAAAGGAGTTATGAGAATGTTTTTGTAATTAGCTTTCATTAAATACAGTTTTAGAAGGAGGATTCCGGGAATTTGGGAGAGAAATGAAGTTGCGGGCGAACGAACGATGATAGTGGTTGAGGGTTTAATTTCTCACCATGAGAGAGGTTATGGGTTCAAATCACACATAATTGTTCTTTGGGCTCAACTTTCTCAATCACACATAATTGTCCTTTGGGCTCAACTTTCTCCAATAACAATATTAATAATGTTATGCCATGAACAAATTTTCAACATACGCATGTTTCTTGAAGCATAACACAGATCTCGAAGCAACCTGTCGAGCAAAGCATGTTCAAACTTTGATTAAGAATCAACCATATCACTAATTTCAGCAAACTGATTGGTTTGAAGTGATTGGCTTGACGAGAAGGGCCCAATGATATCAAAATTTGTCAAATTCGAGTCAAATCAAGCCCATATCAAGTCATTCAACCATATTTGGAGGTTTTTCGGACACATTTAGAAGGTCAAATAGATGTCGAATTCAATGAGTTTATAATCAAATAGAGCGTCTCGACAAAAAATCCAACGAGCCCAAGACGCTCAATTCCAACATCATTAAAGCATTCAAATGTCCTTTAAATGTCTTCTGATCGAGGGAAGCATTTTGAACTGTCTGAATAAAGTGATTCATATTCCTACAATAATTGCGCACAGAACTCTATAAATAGACCCCCATCTCTCTCATGAGGGAGGAGGGAGCTTGAGGGTTAAAGAAGAGCTTAAAACCTTGTAAAAGAGTTGAAGTCCAACATCACTCCCACCGCCAACCACCGCTGATTGTCGCCGATCACCATCAATCATCGTCGACCACTATCGACCACCACCTGTCAGCCGGAACCAATTGCTATCGATCGCCGTCTGTTCCTAGCAACAAATTTATGCGCACGTCAACGTTGTAACGTGAGGTCTTCTAACCATTTTCCAACTGTGGGAGAAGTGGTTGTCGTGCATTGGCCGTTAGTCTTAATATGAGGGGTCATTTGGCCCGGTTCAGTCCAAGGAAATAAAATAACACGATCCAATCGGGCCATGCACCTAGCCTCAACTCACAGTTTGATTTGTCAGCATAAGGAGAAATGAACAGTGGCCACATAAAATATGAACAAATTTCTGTTGGAACATCCTTGTTTCTATCATATCAGAATGAGACTAATTTTATGTTGTCCTGTTAATTCGCACACACACACACGCACACGCGCACACACACACACGCACACGCGCGCGCACACACACACACAAATATATATATATTATTATTCCTATCATAATTCAAATTTAGTTATATTCTTTGATAATGTATTTGTACCTATTTTAAAGTAAATTTGATAATGAGGATATTAATTGGCCAAAAATATATACCTTGTTCAGCGTTGGAAGCAAACTAAGAAAGCTTATCAAAGTTAAGAACTTAGTTGAACAAACATTATGCAAAAACGTACAGGTTGTTGAGGAGAATCATTTGCTGAGAAGGAAAAACTAAACAAGCATTTACTCTAAACATACATTCAATTTGCCTCTTCTTTCTATTTATTATTTTTATGTTCTTAAAGATGGATATTTTAGCTTTTAATTAAGACTTTTTGAGGACTTGGTAGAGTACAAATTATTAAATAAATAAATATTTTTTTCTCAACCAAATCACACTTGGTGTCATTTTCATTAATGTATATATATATAAATATATATTTAAGTGCCATGTTTTGTATGATACTCAAATAAAACATCAAAATTTTCATTTCGTGAATAATTTTAGGAAATTAAATATGAACGATATTTCAATGAAGTTTATAAAAATGATTTAGGATTATTAAAAACAATGCTTAAAAATTATTAGAAGTAATTAATGAAGTGCTTAGTAACAGAAGAATGAAACTTATGCACCTACCTGGTCGAGTATCGAGGATCTCACCTCTAAGCTAGTTGTCTCACCCGCATTTCCTCCCACGTGATCAACTGCTCGAGGGCGAACTGCTCCGGGGCTCTCATCGGTTTTGTTTCGCTCTCTATGTTAGTAATTGTATTTGTAGCATGACTACTTTACCCTTTAGCTTATTTACTACTCTGCTCTGTAAATAAGCTTCTAAAGGACAGCTCAACTTTCATTGAAATGCATAAAATCACTTTGTATTTCTTGAGGCCTGTTTTCTGTCTTCTCACCTCTTATATTTCATAGAAGTGTCATATAAAGATTTTAAATACTCAAAAACCATCATAACCAATTCATTCATTATGTTCTAAGTGTCTATTCCATTGTACGAAGGGTAATATTTATACAAGTATTCTAAGATTTAGAATAGGAAAGAAAATAAATAAAAAGCAGAAATTAAGCCTAGACATTTGTATATGGAATCAACGTTAATTACAGCATATCAGAGTCATTAATGTCATTACACCATATCAAGGCAAATAAATGCCATTGATTTATTTCCTAACATAGAAAATATGAAAGGAAAATTAAAAAAAAAACTTCCTAGTTGGAATCATTCATTCCTCAGGAGATCACACGAGAGGCCGACTCAAAGTCATTCGGTCTATCGTTTCACTTCTCTTTTGGCAATCTTATGATTCTACATTGCGATTAATATATTTTAAAGTATAATACAATGCGTACCATCCACGTGAAAAATATAAAAGCAACACATGCTACACATAATCATGAAGCCATGCTGATTCACGTGCAGATCACGTATTATACATCATATAAAACAAAAATATAATCTTTTTCTTTTTAAGCGTATTGTCAGAGCATGCATTTGACTCCTTTTTTTTTCTAACTGCTTTTCAAATATTTTGTGATGAAAAATATTTTTTAAGAACCAAGTTTAGCCAAACCTACCATCGAAAACTTTTGAATATATATGTATTTATATCACTTCTCCATGACAGCATTATGATAACTATATAAAAGACTGAATTTTAAGATCAAGAAATTCAATTGCAGCAACAAAGACAAAAAAATACTAAACATTTTTATAATCTCGAAAATCAATCCAAAAGCTTTCAAATATATATATATATATATATGTATGTATGTATGTAAAACAAGAGAGCTCAAACCATAGGCAAATACGCCAATTTAAAAATGTCTGGCAACGTGCAACTTCAAATCCTTTTACATTACTCAATTCACAATTATTTTATCAAAACAATGGCACAAAAAGATAAATCAAAATCCGGAACCTTATTTGAAAATTTGAACAAAATTTATCTCAGCCAAAAAAAAAGCATTTGGCGCATTCTGATTATTTTCAAGGATATAACAAAAATTTGAACAAAATTTATCTCAGCAAAAAAAGAAAAACCATTTGGCGCATTCTGATTATTTTCAAGGATATAACTAGAAAATTTATGATAAGGTTTGGGAGATTCACCTAAAAATATAATATAGAAGAGCCCCTTTTCGGATTCAGGATTAAGCCGGAACATAAGATTCCAGCATCAACTGTGCATGTGTTGGCGACATAATCTCCACAATGAGATAGGTGAATCTCCATTGCTTGTCCGAATTGTTCTTGAACATTTCTGCAAACACCTTTCCGGCTCCATGAGGCCCTCGAATGTAAAAGTTAACCTGCAGTTGTATGCAAAAAATATATATTGATGTTTAAAATGATATCATAGATTGGAGATTTTATTGGCATTATCAGTTAGCATATTAAGGGCCCTCGATTGATTTGTTAAAGTAGTTACGAATTTGTTATGGAGTGTCATAATTTTTTTTCTCTTATGGAAAAGATTAAACACCAGCAGCTTTCATATAGCGATCATATTCTAAAACAGGTGTGATTGCTAAAAATTATTTTTACCATAAATTTCTGTTGCATAATGAGTAAAGTGCCAAATAATGTCTTCGCTGTTTATATGAGGTCATTGTAATCGTAAGACTATAAAAGTGTCATATTAATTCTCAAACTCTTTGATAGGGATGTCAATTCTGGTCAGCGGACCTGACCCGAATTAGGTCAACCCGAACCCGAACCCTAGCCGAATAATAAATAAGTCGAAAAACTCAACCCGAACCCGACTCAACCCAAACACGAATAAACCGAACTCAAGCCGATCAACCTACCAGCTCAATTTTTTATTAAAAACTATACTTCTTACATTTAGCCAATAACAATAGACAAATTAAAAAAAACTCTATGTTTATACATGACAAACAATAATATAAGAGTTAGAAGTACAATCAATTTTTTCGTGTTTATCTGAGTCATGATCGAGTTTTTGGGTTCAATCCAAACCCGACCCGATAATTTTACGTGTCGAATTTTCAGAACCAAACTTAACTAGAAAAATATTCTGGTCAAAACCCGAAATTTTTCAAGTCAATTTTTTACACCCTACTATTTAAATTTGGGTTAAAATAGTTCTATGTTGCAACTATTTAAACTCATTAAAAGAGTCCGAGGACTAAATTGATAGTTTTGTAAACTCTATGATTAAAATGACCCATTGGAAAGGGTCAGAGAACAATTTTGACACTTTTTTTCTTTTGAAAATTAACAAAAAAGAAAATTGCTAAATACTAGTGTGAGACCGATTTGCAAAGCTAAGCAATACCAAAGCTACACAAAATGGTTCCTAAATCCCTAAGCAGGTGGATGCCTAAAAAAATTAAAGATAACAGAAATACAATTATGGAATAATTTAGCAGTTAAATCGTGACTAGAACACCAAAACAAAGTGTTGAAATGAACTCCATAAAGAAAGTAAAATAGAAAATCACCTCAACATGTTCAACACCATCTTCATCTTTCCAAACCCTATTAGGTATCCTTTGCCGAGCAGCACGATTTCTACTTTCTTGGCCATAGCCGGTCACTGGGGAGCCAATCCTAACTTTAACCTGAAAATGTAGCCAAATATAAAAATTTTGTTCTTAAAAAAATAATGCAGCACAGAGGGGTGAGAAGAGTCTATTGAACTAACTTGGCTATCATTTTGAACCCTTTCAAGCGCCTTGCCAAAAATCTTGTACCTGAAGAGGGGAAAGACCAAGCAAATTGAGGCAATGCTTCATGTGTTTTGCTACCCATTAAATTGTAGGTGTGAAATGCAAAATATAAATCAAGATAATTGGACTTAGTCTGTGATAAATAAATAATAAAATTCCCACTGTCATAATGTTTCTTATCAGTACGAAGCGTATAAAAAGAGTAATGGCATAATTAAATGAAAAAAAATACTTCTCTGGAAAAAGGAAAAAACCAAGATTACATTCTAAATATAAAGCTTAAAACCAAATCAATTAACTGAATCTGCAAAAAAAAAAATTACCATCATGACAAACTGATCAAAATAAAATCAAGATATTTGGTTTAATTTTGGGTAATTTTCAGTTAAAGATATGAATCTTAAAAAATTGACTCCACATTTATTTAGGTTGGTTTAATTAAGTTTGATGTTGAATGATTTTAAATTCTAACATAATTTGTTTTGACAGTTTTAATCCAAAATGATGAACATTGAAACAAATTTCATCAAAAAAATGTAATAACTTAAATTAAACAAGTAATAATAATAATATAGATGTCAGCGTTTAGAAGACATGAAACTTCTCGTAAGAGAGTTACTTCATGATATTTTGACATTTCCCCCTCATTCGAATAAATGAAAGGGAAAGACGAGAGGGAAGGTAGCAGAAACTTTTACTTATTTTCCTTACTAAACATTCCAAATAAATTTTATTTACTCTACTTATTGCCACATCTTTTACTTGTTGTAAATGTTCCAATTAAATAATTATGTTTTACATTAACTTATCTTCATTAAGTGCTACCTCCAACTATATCTCTGCTACTATAATCATCATTTCTCAATATATCTATCCTCTTTAATTTACCACATCCAACCATTGACGTTTCTATAAAGTTCAGGTTGGCTAAGAATAACTTTTATATCACCCAAAACTCAAATTTATAACATGGATGATAACAATAAGTGCACTCGTGTAAAAAAAGTCAAGATGGGATAGTTGAGCGTAACCTACCTCCATTATAATTTAGATGTCATGAGCTCAATTCAAAAAACAATGTACATTGCAAGAATAAGGCTACATAAAACCTTCTATATATAGACAGTGAAAGTGAAAATTAGCATATATTGAAAGTGCAACATTGTAACACACTTCCACTATTCCTGATATGATTTTCTTAGAAAGAAAAATGTAAAATGAGCTCACTCTTTGGGCTCAAAGATTAGCTCCTTAAACACAGCATAAGCGGCCAAAGCTGCAACGCCAAGTCCTGCAAGTATTATAAGACTATATGATGCACCCTCGACAAAAGTCACAGGTTTCTCTGGAATATTATATGTGGGAGAATCATCGAAAGGATCTTCAACGGTAGAGATAGCTTTCCTTGATTCCTGGTGCAAACACAGAATGAATATTCTTAGAACATTCTGCACATTAGATATGTACCAGTGAGTGCTATTTATCAGAATTGAACGCCAAATCAAAAGCAAATACCAACGTAAAACAGATATTACATATAAATCTAGAAACAACATAAGAATTTGAACAACCAAAACAATCAATTTAATAGGTCGAGAATTTGCTCAATTTCCACTATTTTTGGTGCGAATGTATTCTTGACATTTGTAACTCAGCCTACTAAAGCCAGAACAGAAAAATAAACTTTAAAAATATGATTTAGGAGATGCATAAAACGTTATTTTATGTTATCAATTGGATAAGCCCATTATAGATAATGTACATGGGGTTTGATGACTATATCCAGAAGTTTTTGATGATCAAATATCGCATTGTAAGGTTTCAAAGTGATTCAGCCAGAGAAATGTTTCCCTCAATAGAGAAAAAACATAATGCAAAGTCTGATAAGCCTAGACTACTCACCATCATCGTCATCATTAGCATTACTCCAACACTTGGGGTCAGATTTATGAACTCTCATTTTTCATTCGTTTCATAATACTTTTCAAATAAAACCTATTATTCACAAATCATTTTAAACAACTTCTCACATTGTTTTACCCCTTCTTCCTATAGCCAAACTAATTTCATCTACTTATCTAATGGGCATAATTAGGGGTGTGCACTATTTGATTAAAACTAGAAAATCGAACAGAAGCAATTTGATCAAATTGGTTTGTTTAATTAGAAAAATTGGATTTTGGTTTTGAAAATGCTATAATTTGGTTTTCGGTTTTCGGATTGGTTTTGAAATTTATGACCAAGCAAACTGAAAACAGAATCGAGATTATATATGTTATGGGCCTTATCACTTGTGCTTAAGTTACGAGTAACAATATTTAGCCATTAAGGGTTCTCCCTAGCTCGCGCCGCTCAGCTCATCCCCGTCGCTCTGTTGCCATGCCACTCGTCGATCGCTGGCTCACTTCATCCCTCTCCAACCTCATTCTATAGACATATCCTCCTTGGTGTATGAACGAAGGCAGCTACGGATTCGAAAGTGGCCTGAGGTGTCGTCAAAGGTGGAAATGGGGAAGTAGGAGAGGCATGAAGACTCTTTTTCCTTTTTTTATTAGGCATGAAGACTCTTGGTTCCCAAAAATCTCAGTTATTAGGGTTCTCAAACTTTTACTTTCACCTTCCAGTTATAGCCCTAATTTTCTTTACGCTGCAATCCACTCCACAGTCTTACAAGTTTGTGAGTGGTTTGACAGTGATCTCTCTCTATCTTCTTCTCCAACTCTATCTTGTTCTAAGGCATTTTTGAACCGTAAATGACCAGTGGGTTTAATTTTTATTCTAGTTGAAGCATTGTTTATGTCGAAATGACTGCACCATAATTTTTGGGAACATATAAGAAGATCTGTCATCATTTATGGCTACATCAAAGTCATCACTATGAAAAAGGTAGATTGTTCACTGCTGTACCTCAATTGAATGTCATTCTGCGAATTGAAATCCATTAGTTTTGTTTTAGCAACTATATTAATTTTTTATCAATTGAATATCACTTGCTGCTACTAGCCCTCTGCATGTGCATGTACTTTTTATTTTTTTATACAACAAATATATATATTTCGGTTTATGTAATCCTTTAAAACTGAATTAAACTTCGGTTTAATTAGTTTGGTTTTATCAATTTTTTGTTTGGTTCAATACCTCGGTTTCTGGAATTTGGTTTAAATCAGTTTGCCCAAATTGCCTGTCTGTTTTTTATAATCTAATCTTCAATAGATGTCATTTTAACTCTTCATTTAACATAATCATCATTAATTTATACTTCCTTTTTACACATATTCATCTCAGATTTCAATTACTGCTGGACCAAATAAAACAAGTAGGCTACAGGCTTAAGCCGATACTAACAAATAACTATCTGAAATTAAGTACAACAAAACTAACGCAACTGACAGAACCAAAATATGAATTCATGCAAAAGAAACCCATTAGAGATTTTCCTGTCAGGAAAAACAAGGAGATAGGTTTCAGTTCAAGTTGGGAAAAGCATTAGAAAGTTCACCCAACAATTTCATTGTGTTTTGTCAGAAGGTACGGTATATTAAAATTCCTAGTTTTAAATTAAATAAACAATTTTTTACTTGCAAATTGCAGATTATAACGCACCGCATTAGATTAAAGCAAAATTGCAATGAAATGATAGATAAATGATTGCAGGCATGGCTCAAACTTCAAACCTCTTTTGCCTGCTGCGATGATTGTGAAGAATAATTTGATGAAAGTGGTCTCATGTTACAAAGAAGCAAGCAATGCTTGGTATGGTTTATGTTCAGCTGCTTTGAAGGGATTGAGATTACATTCCGGCTTAAGTTTTTTCTGAACAGCACTGAGTCACCTGTCACAGAATCACAATTAATGCACCAAGATTATAAGAAACTACCATAAAATTTCACTTGACAGTGGTGACAATTGTGCTTGAACATAAATAGAAAACAAACTGCCTCTGCATGTAATTCCTCTTTCTATGAGTATAATTCAGTTTCTTCTCCATGATGTAATAAAAACAATTACATTTTTTCAGCATTCACAAACATTTTTCATTTAAATAAAGAAAAAACGATAGTAAGAGTATATTACTGAATAAAAATATCAGGAAATTTACAAGCCCATAACTTCTTCGAACAAGACCAAAAATATTAATAATGCTCAGAACACAAGCATTAAGTGTAATAAAATTTTCAAGGATCAAAATCTTGCTTCAAGATGTTTCAGAATGGAATCGACATGGTCTTTTGAGGGCTACTCTGATAATTAGATTACATTGTTAGGTAATGTTTTCTTGTCGTTCTTTTGAAGGGGTGGTTTGGTAATTCGGTGTGCACAAGCTTTATTAACAACGCCAGCCTACCTAAAGCTACTTGCCTAGAGAAAATTGGATATCCTAGTTAGGAAAGGAGGTCCCAATTGTGGAGGAAGTAATGTTGAAAGGAGATTATAGCGAAATTTGAGGCTCTAACACAATTGATCCTCAGAGCCCTTAGACCTCCTTTGTCTTTCTTTCCTTGTACCTGCCCACTAGTTTCTAGACCTAAAAAGGGTGATTAATGGCTGCTCTTGTCAGCCTAGAAGCACACATATCAATAGTGAAAAATAACGTGCTGTAGCTCAAAACACAGCACAATCCACCTCCTATGCATTTCTTTCTCTTATTATTAACTTTGTTTCTTTGTGTGTTGATCTATCAGTTTCCTTTTCCTTTAGTAAATTGTCTTTAGTAAAGGAAATTCCAACAAGAAACCATGCACATCCCGCATATTTCCCATTTAGCAATCACTGGACACCATAACAAAAAAAGAAGAGCAAGAAACTGCAAAAAATAGAGATAGCAATTGCAAAGCAATGATGCATTGACAGTCCATAATAATGAAGCATGTTGTATCGAGACGTGCAAGACATGCACTTGCCCGACATACAGCAAACACATGCCGAGCACACCATCTATGTGTCCATAAAAAGAGAAAAAATTAACATGCATAAATGTCCGACACATCCCAAGTAATACATTGTAACTTTAGCTAATCAATTTTTTTCAAGATAAATTGATGAGATAAGTTAATAGATACTCAATAATGATTTTCTTTTCATATTCAGCTCTATATGTTTATATTTTTAATGAATTCTTTTTTTTTATTACAAAATAATTAATTTTTTAAACTTTAAATAAACAATCAATAATGTCATGTGACTATTTCTTCTTAAATCAAGTCTAAACTATCAAATAAATTTAAACGAATTTGCTATTTTATGAGCAATTAAAATAAAATAATTATTATATGAATTTACTTAATATTTATTTAGTTTGTGTAATTACTATATGGCATTTTAAAATTTTTAAGATAATATTATAATTTCTTATCTAATATGTGTTCTTATCCTATAATTTCAAAAATAGGCATGCCCCAAAAAGAAAAAAAAGATATATATTTTGTAAAATTACACATAAATTCAAGCTTTCACTAATCACATATTATAATTATTCAGTTAGTGCTACAAAAAAAAATATTAGTTCACGAGCAACTCGTGTTTCATTCGCTCAGAAGTTCATGTTTGGTTCATTTGTTAAGCAAGACAAATACAAATTGAGCTTTGATTTAAAGAAGTCAAACATAAACATTGCTTTGTTCAATTTTGTTAGGCTGGTTAATTGTTCATATAAAACAACATAATTACATATATATAGATAAATTTTATAATAAACTTTGAGTAATGGTGATGTGAATTTTCTATATATTTATTTCCTTGTGAGGTCTCAGTTTATAAAAAATAATTTAAATTTGACCTAAACAAGCTTGTTTAAAACAAACCAAACACAAACATGATATTTTCAAACAAAATGGGCCAATTTCAAACAAAAATAAATTCAAATGAGCTAAATATGAATAAACAAAAAACTCATTCATGCATGGCTAATTAAATCTCTTAGTAACTGCAAATAATCGAGAGCAAGTCAATGATTAATGATGATATTAAATAAAACTATGAAATTATGTTAGTGATGCACTAATGTATGTAGTAAATCTTCATGGAACAGTGTAGCTTATCAAAACTAATTAGCATGGTCATTTTATGATGTTGAAAATCTTGCTTTAACATCTCTCACAACTAGATTTCCAATTGTATTTTTTATCAAAAGATAAATTGCATCCATTTGATACCTAGATTAAATAAAAATTGTAAAACGGTTGAACTTGCAAAATATGCATGTCCCCCGTCCCTCTAAAAACAAAGAAAAACTAAAAATATATTAAAACATCAAAAAGACAATAAATTAAACATGTATAACTTCAAGTCCTTCAAAGAAGCCAAACTATGCTTGTTATCTTATAGGATAACTTTCCTCATCAATTCATTTTTTAATTGATTCATAAACTATATCAATGATAATTAAATTAATCTATCAAGAAGCTATCAAGAAGGAGACCAATCCCTACCTTCTTTGAAAGTATAAGAGAATCACATGAGAAAACATAGAGGACATTAGGTTGACTCCTACAATAGTGTACCAAATTCCATTTATAAGACAGCAATTTCAAATAAAAGCTAAAGAAAGGAAATGAAAGTGACAAACAATACTCCATCCTTTTCCTCCTCAAAAATAAGAGAAGGAAACAAAAAATAATGAGAAGGCTTTAAATCACCAGAAACAAACCTTTTCTGTTATATTACATCTTCCTCTGGTATGCATTGATGAGAGATTTATGAGTGGGATCGACCTGGTTCAATGAGTTCGAAAGGCCAAGCTTTTCTGATTGTGAGGTTTTTAGGCGACACGGGAGCTTGGGTCGCGCTACAGTAGATGCTACAGTACCGGTTCCAGTACTGTGGTCTTTTTTTGTACTTTGATCACTTGCCTTTTTTCTATTCTGTTCTTATGGATTCTATTTCCTTTATATTCTAATTTCTTTCTATTCTAACTACTAGTACTTATTATAAATATGTTGTTTGTAGTCATAGGGTTCACTTTTTTATGATTTTTATTTCATATTTATGTCAGGATAGCCGTCGGCATCCGCTTTCACCTTCGAGGGTTGCATCTGAGGGATTAGGTGGTGCTCCGGTTGTATCTCTCTCCCGATGTGGTGATTATCTTCCACCTATCTCCTTCCACATACTTCCCCGCCACTCTCGGTCGCTGTATATCGTTGCAGTCGGCCACAGCAGCCTTCCGTTTGTTGTTTTTGCCGCCCCAGCTTCCCAGTCACCTCCCACTTCAACCCTAGGATACACTTTAGTGATGTTTGATTTGAATTTAACAATAATACTGCTATTTCTATTGTGATTGGGGTTAACTGCCTTTCTTATGTGTGCCTTTTCTAAATGTAAAATTCTAAAAAAATTAATATTTGTGTTGAATACTACGCTGTCATTGTCGGGTCTCAAGCCCCGGATGAGAAAAGTTGAGAGTTGTGTTAGGTAGTCAACAACAAACTTAAAATTCGTCGAAAAAATCATCAAATGAATCATTTAAATCATTGTGAAAATGCTGGGATATCCCCTAAAAGCGACGCACTGTATAACCAAAATGCAGTGAAAAATATGCAATGCTCGCTACACCGGTGTTCGAGGTAGTGTTAAATAAACAAAAATTCTCAAATTATGAATGGATGCAGCAAAAACATTAGTCCATAATAATAATATTATGGATAGAATTTTAAAGTATACGTACTCTCACAGATAAATTAATGAACTTAGTAGATATTATGCTTCATACAAAGATAAATATCTTATGTGTTCAGAAAACTAAATGGGATGTGGATAAAACACTAAGGAGATTGAAAACTTAGGCTTTAAATTTTGGAATTTAGGTAACAGCGCACTATAAATGATTTAGGTGTAATTATACATATGAGTTTGAAAGATAATGTTTTTAAAATTAATAGAATTAGCGAAAAAATTATAGCCCTGAAGATTGTTATTGATAATAAGATTTTTAATGTTATAAGTGCTTATGCTCCTCAAGTACGTTTAGATATATTTCAAAAAAAAAATTTGGAATAACCTAAAAAATATAGTACAAATGAAAACTCTTGAATGAGTGTCTTAACAATTAGAGACAAAATGTAAAACGAATGTATCCGACAAAGGATTAGTGTAGCTCTAGCGGCAGACAAAATTAGAGAGAGTCGTCTTAGATGGTTTGGTCACATTAAATGTCTACCATTTAATTATCCAGTTAGGAGAGCAGATTTTAGATTTGACATATGTTAAGAAAGATTGAGGTAAACCTAAAAAAACTTGGGCATGTATTAAAAATGATCTTAATTTATTAGAATTAAATGAAAATATGACACTCTGGAGGACCAAATAGAGCAAAAATGATTCATGTAGTCGACCCCACTTAGAGGATAAAGGCATGTTATTGACGTTGTTATGCTTAACACAAGGTAAACAAATTTATCGAACAAATTGAACATAGACATTGTATTAAAAACAATATAAAAAAGAGGCTAAATTTAAACAAGGAAAAATTCAAATGAGCCAAAAACAAACACAAAACAAGCTCATTTAGTATTAAATAAAAATATAAAAAACCCTTTTAAGTTAATAATCTTAAAATGATATATTAAGGAGATGTAATTTTGATATATAGCTTTTCATCATATATTGCTCATATATATCAACACTAGGATTGCCATAAATTATAGTATATAGTATAAGTCAAAAACAGTACAAAAGTATTTGGAATATTGACTTTAGTACTTGAAAATTTGGAGAGGATACACAGAAATAATAAGTTTAAATTCATTTGATTTCATTTAATTGGAAATGTTTCTTCAAGGTTTAAAAAGGATGAGCATCTCTCTCTCTCTCTCTCTCTCTCTCATAATTCAATGT